TATTAATATTTGGGTATATGGGTTAGCCTGATCCGGATATGTCGTGTGGCTTCCAAAATAAGGAACATTGTAACGGAAGCTCAGGTCTTTTAAATCTCAGATATTTGGATGTGCAGGTTGACCCAATCTGTATCTGCATTTATAGGTGAGGGTGAGTAGGTCAGCATGGGTGAAGGTGGATAAGGGTCGATATGGATGGGTCAAGTGGGTCAATATGGATAGATCAAGGTCAGGGTGGGTTGTGACCCATTAACAAGGATTGATGATGGGTTATGGTGGGTTGGTATTCAACCCTGACTCAACCCAACCCACCCATTTGCCACCCTTAGGTATCACCCCCTTCAAATTGCACAGGTGCAATTTTTATCAATACTTCAAGCCATGATCTCAGTGGATTCTTTATTAAGAGGCTGGTCCTCAGTTCTGATGTGTCTAATTTTTCCCCTTAGGCTCAGTTTTGAAGGAGTACAAATAGAAATATGTAGAGTGAAAAACCTTATATTTTGTATATGTTTGTATGTATTTGTAATTTTTCCCCATAGGGGTGCAACATCAAATTAAGATAAACCCAAGTCCAATCTCCAATCCTAACCCCAAACTAATTTGTTTCATTTTCATTAAAATAAATGTTCCGCTTCACTTAAGGAGTGTTCGAACAACATTATTGGTTTTATTTTGGATAAAAGACTTAAACTTCCCTTCAAGTTTCTCCTAAATACCAATGCATTCTCTCTTTTTTTAACATAGACTAGGACTTCCCCTGTTGGATGGCGTGATAAGCACCTCCCTTTTCTTACCATCTGTGAATAACCGTTTGCATATGATGACATCATGGTCTAGTGAAAAATTTTTAAAAACCCAAAATTTCCCCTTTAGGTCAACTTTCCTTCTCTATTAAAGATATAATATAAGAGAATTTTTCATTGGCATTTTTGTAGTTGGGGTTACCTAGCAACCCTATTTGGAATTTGGATAATTTGAACTGGGGTTTTGGGAGTTTCCATGGAGAACACGATAAATTGCTTGAAGAACCAAACCTAGATTTACCTAATACTCATGTACTTAACTTTCTTTTTGATTGGGGTTTCGATGGTTTTCAGTTTTCTTACATTTATTTTTGTCTTCTTATTTAAGAGCAGATGCTGTTGTTTTGTTTTGTTTTGTTTTGTTTCTTGTTTTTTTAAGAAGTAGGTCTGAACTTTGAATGGAATATGTAGACTGAAGCGAAAAGTCTGGTTTAACCGTTTAAGTACTAAGGCCCTATTTGCTTTTTGATAAGTTATTTACACAGGTAAATGTAATAGTATGGGTAAGTTTTTATTGGGAAACACTTATCAGGGTAAGTGCATTTACCCATGTTCTTTTATTTCTCATATAAATAAGGCAATGACCATTTTAGCCATAAAAATCCATTACTAAAAGGGGCATTTTTGTTACATCAAGTGTTGGCAACTTTCCCCTTAAATAGGAAAGTTATTTACCTACCTAGGAGATGGGTATCACTTACCCGGGTAAGTGGTACCTAAGAAAACAAAATTTCCCTGGTCCCCACATAAATCTGAAAAAAGAACATGGGATTCTTGGTCAATGAAAACCAAAATCCCCTTGACCAACTTTTCCCCCTCTCAAAATCCGAAAAAAGAACACCCCCTAATAGGTAGTAGAGTGGGTTGTTTTATTTCTTTTTTGTGCTACTAGTAAATGTCTACGTGCATTGCACATGATAATTTCAAATACTACTACTGATAATAATAATAATAATAATAATAATAATTTTAGTGTTTTTATCAAAACCTATGTAACAAATACAAGTAAACCAAACAATTCAACTGATTGTAATTTGAATGGGACCAAACCAAACGAGAAAATTAATATCTTTTTATTTGTAGTTTATGTAACTGTTTGTAACTTGCAACTAAACCAAACAATTCAACTGATTAACCCATTTCGTAGGCAATTTATAAGTATATTTTAACCCAGACCATTGATTTGGTCAATAACCAAATGACCTTATTGGTTGAACTACTAATCTATCTGGTTAGGTCAATGAGGCATGAACAAAATATTAATTTTCTTGTACATTTTTTTCGTATTTTATCCATTTCCATCATTAATAACAACAAATTTTACTTTTCACACATATTTTTATTAAATATGATGAATATAATGTTAAAGGTATGCTTAAATTTTCTATATTTTTATTTTTATTATTTAATGTATAACATCACAATAAATTGACTTTCTAAATTAGGAGGCAAATGTGGTTCCAATTCATTTTTAAAACATTAGTTTTTATCAATATTTTGGCATCTTCATTCCCTCTATTATTATTATCAATGTTTTTTCCTTGCATTTCTATTGTTTTGTCAGAATAGGATTTGTTTAAATGATTGAATTAGTGACCTTTCTACATCTAGTTTATTTATTTATTTATTTATTTTTGGACTTTGATATTAAGTTTCAAGTTTTTTATGCAAAAATTTCATATTTGCACAATTTCTACTCAAAACCATTTCAACACAATTGTCAATGCTAAACACATCAAGCATGTCTTTCCTTCACATAGTTTTATAGTTTATAATTTCCTTTCAAAATTTTAGAAGTAAAAATCATAAACTATCAAAAGAAAGAAGGGAAATTCAAGTGTAGACTTAAATGTATGGTGGAACTCTCTCATAGGTTAGAATCTACTTTCATCTCAAGAAAGATGTTAGTGGGTTGGGTGGTGAACCTGCATAGGCCCAAGCCCACATTTGTAAAGTAAAGCACATCTCAACATCAAAACGATTAGTTAAAATGCTACAGGTTCATAAAAGCAAATAAGCAATGAAATGGATCATTGTAATGTATCCTAAAGTTGATCATGAGAACTATTAACTAAAAATGCTACAAAACCTACAAGCATGTCAATTCCCAATTAATTTGGCACGACTGTTTTTATCTTTTTGGCCCTTTGGGGAGATGGAAGGCCAATCAAACCGTAATTAAAATATTATCATTAGACACTAGTGGACATTGATCAATACTTTAGCACTGCCCATTTAATAAAAAAATATTAATTCAACACAAGAGCCAATTGAGAACACATGGGCCTGATGACAATTCAAGAGAAATACGCAAGGACCAAACTCAAAAAGGAGTGAAGAATTAAATATACTTTGGGAATTTTTTATTACCATTAAATAGGTGTTGAGCAATTATAACCAGTAATTTCAGTATCAATATGCTGTGGAATAGTTATTTTATCCTTATTTAGACCACTGAAAATGTTAAATAAAAGGATAATTTTTGTCTAATCAAAATTCTAGAAATTCTATGAGAACATCATACATTTTATAGTAGTATAGATTAGCCTACTACTAATAGGTAGTAGAGTGGGTGAAGGGCAAAAAATCTGGTTTTCCCAAAGTGGTAGTAACTGCAAATAGTTGATGAATTTGATCCAATATCAGTGGCTCTCTTTGAAAATTTGAAGGGTGATGAAGGGTAAAGTGGTCTTTTTATTAATTATGTCAAACATAACTACATATTATTCTAGCAGGGGACGTTAAGTACTCTAAAACATTTGAGGGGAAGTGTATGAATTTATCAGCAACTTTAAGGAAGGTTTAAGTCTTTTAAAACAAAAACAACTGTTACATCAGCCAAATCATGTTGTCGAACACCCTTTTAGAGTTTACATCAGCCTATTAGCAATGAGCCATTTGCCAGATTTAGCATTGGTTATATCTATCAACTACAACACTTAAGAGGAGCTCCCATGTCAACCACTTCCATTGCCCTCATCAAACGATCTGTAGCAAATCTGTCCTTTTATGGAAATTCTAATTGACAGCCCAGGCTGTTGAATTTCAAAGATTCCCATTGAGCTTGAAACCACGAAAAGAACCACATTAAATTTATTAGAAGCGTCTCCAAAACATATCTTTGCAATTTAGATGGAAGTGGTTTCCATATACTAACAATCCCTTTTTCTTTTGATAAATCATGGATTCCATGGTACATGACTTTTTGCTAGAAGTTGATCAAGGGAAAGTGGTTTTCATTGACCAACAATCCCATGTTCATTTTTTAGATTTTGAGAGAGAAAAGTTGGTCAATGGGATTTTGGTTCTCATTGACCAAGATACCTTTTTTTTTTAGATTTATGTAGATTTCATGGAAATTTTATTTTCCCTAATGTAATGCTCATGTCCCAAGTGGGTAAGGAACTTTTCCACCTGGAAAAAAAGTTGCCAATACTTGGATGGGCCAAAATTGCCCCTTTTAGTGGATTTTCATGGCTAGAACAGTTTGTCATTTCACTCGGGAAATAAAAGAACATGGATAAATACACTTTACTTAAATGGGACAAAAGTGCCCCTTTTAATAATGAAATTTTATGGCTAAAATGGTCAGTGCCTTATTTACATATGAGAAATAAAAACATGGATAAATGCATTTACCCAGGTAAATGTTTCCGAAGAAAAACTTAGCCTAAATAACTGCATTTACTCAGATAAGTAACTTATCGAAAAAAGAACAGGGCCTTACAGGTAAGTGATTCATAGGAAACACTTACCAAGGTAAGTGCATATACCCAAATTAACTTCCCAAAAAGCAAATACGGCCTTAAGGGAAAGTTGCCAACACATGATGAGACAAATTGCCCCTTCAAATAATGGCATTTTATGGGTAAAAACACTAATTGTTTAACTTACCAGAAGAAAAGAATACGGGTAAGTAGTGCTTCCCAAGTAAAAGGCTCACCCTAAAAAAACCAACAAGGCCAAAATGACCGATGTAGCGAGTTTAGTCAAATAAAGTGAGCATTCGGTAATAACAAGATTTTATGATATTTGGCTCTTGGCTCCCAACTCTAATGTCAAGAGCCAAACTTCCATGTTCCATCCAATATCAGGAGAACAAAAACTGCTTCAGAGATTTTATGTTATAACACTAGCTACTTACAATAGCAGCTACATAAGCTCATTCTATCTCTATGCCTACAAGAAAAAACATGTGATACTTAAAATCATTCATATGCCAAAATTGAATTGGGGAACAAAACTGTCTACAATATTGACGATATCCCTCTTTGAATGTTTGATATATCACAACTGAATTGATGGATCAACTAAAACCTTTTAACATAAGATAGAACAATTAAAACCACTATTTAAGTGATGAAATTCTAGCTCGTTTCTCCTAACAAACATTTCTCAACAATGCCATGAAAAACATCGGCATTGAATGGATATGTGAGCGAGAGCATTTTAACATTAATGGAGAGATTCAGCTACATCTTCAAATGTTGTTTTTGGACAATTTCCTGACTTGGTATTTCGCAAAAACTACAAGTCCTTATTCATCTTCATCTTCATTTGTAGCACTTTTCCAATCTGTGGTTTTCTTAGAGCTGAGGAAATGAAACAAAAAATAGTTACAAATACAGTAGGGACAATAAGGTTATATATATAAAGAGGTAGAGAGAGAGAGAGAGAGGCACAACCACTCACATTTAATAGAAGTTCCAGCAAGACATGTTAGCCTTGATTTTGTGTTGGCCTCTACTAGTGGATTTGGTTTCTCCTTCTTGGCCATGCGTACATCCCATACCCGTATGACCCCATCAGATGATGCGGATGCTACTAAGAAGGGGTTATTTGAATCATCACTGCCACTACTCCTGGTGAGAACAACAATTCCTTTCACACGGGTTGAATGTGCATTCTCAATACAATATGCAACCTTTCCACTTGTTGTGTCCCATGCAGTTATATTTCGGTCCTCTCCACCCGAAAATAAGAGCCCATTCTGTTACAATTTTTAAGCAGCATAAAACAAATGTACTCAAAGAATACAAGAATATAATTAAAGAAACATTGTTTTATCTTTTATGATGGAACGGGTTTATGCATCAAACTTCATTGTTCAACTACTAGACTAACCCAAGCATGTTCTTCACCCTAGAATGAAAGCAGAGTGAAAGCAATTGGACTATTATTCTAAGCATTATACAGCATTTTCATTTTTTTTATTTCTCCTAGATCAGTAATTAAATTTTCTATTAGCCATACAAAGTATATCTTGTACATAGATGGACAACTTTGCAGATTACTGATACGGTCTTCTGACCATCCAAGGAATTTCACACAAACTTATTGATCATGTGAAATGTATTTATTTAGACAACATGCACCAGAGCTGAAGTTTCACAAAACATCATATAATTCACAAAAAATCTGACCACTATTCAATTATGAAAGTGCAAACCAATAACTGTAAAGAAATAAATAAAAAACTAAAAAAGTGCTTCTGATCAATCTTATACATGGCATGCAGCATATGTGAACTAAAATGAGGTACCAAGCGAACAATTTCCAGTAATTTCAGGCTCAGTAAAGTTGTATCTAAAAATGGCTTTTCAGGCAAACTTCAAAATAATAATTACTAATTTATCAAATACATTGCAGGAAATGTAAAAAAGTTAGGACCATATCCAGCCTAACCGCCCCCCACCCACCC